GCCGGCCCCGCGCCCTGCCCCGTCCCTGCAGCTCCGCGTTTCCCCAGCATCGCAGCCGCCGCAGCCTCCTCGCTCCCTCCCCCTGGTTTTCGCTCACACCGACTCCTGCGTCTCCAACTCCCCGCGGCGGGCGCGAGGCTCTGCAGGATGTTTTTGTGGCATCCTCGGAGACGGAGCCTCCTGGCCACCCCTACCCCAGCTTGCTCCATCGGCTTCCCACTGCTGGGAATTCTGCAACTAATGCGCCCAGGACGGGCAGCACGAGTGGCTGGCTCCCTTCTCGGCTCCCAGCTGTGTGTGCATCCTGCTGCCTCCCGGGCTTCCTCTGCCAGTGCTCCAAAACTCTGCCCTGCCAAAATAATACTCTTTTTTTCTTTTTCTGTTTCTTTTTTTCTTTTTTCTTTTTTTCTTTTTTCTTTTTTTTTCTTTTTTCTTTTTTCTTTTTCTTTTTTCTTTTTTCTTTTTTCTTTTTTCTTTTTTCTTTTTTCTTTTTTTTTCTTTTTTCTTTTTTCTTTTTTCTTTTTTTTCTTTTTTTTCCCTTTTTTTCTGCATGAATTTTAAGTCATTCTTCTGACGAACCCTTTGGCAAAGCAGCCTCATGACACGGGGGAAAAATCTCATTTGGCATTTTAAGCAATCTCAGTGCTGAACACCTGTCAGCAAGAAATTTTTAATATTAATACAGTTAATTTGGCTGAAACCAGCTTTTCCTGAGCGAGACGGAATGGGCAAATCTTGGATCCCTTTAAATGTTTCACTGTAAGTTGTTTTCATATGGAGTACTCGAAAGTCCGTGCGTACAGTATTTCACTCGGTAGGGTCTCTCACCAGGGATTGTGGTCTTGGTTATTTCAGACATTTCAGGAGTAACTCCATGGTGTTTGGCCGTCTTTTCACAGACTAAAATTACTGCAAATGGAACAGGCTTGGGGCCCAGGAGTCCAGGTTTTGTTACTGTGTCAGGCCAAATGTTCCTTGCAGTCGTGTTGGACTTTCCTCTTTTGGCTTCGATCACATTGTTCCTGGTTTACACTACCATGTCCAAGATCAGTTCCAGGGCTCAGCACCCTCTGCAAGGGAAACCCATCAGGTTTTGGAGTCTGCTTTACAACCCTTTACAAGTCCCAATTTTTAATTTAACTCATGTCACAATATCTGGTCCCAAGAAGGAACTTGTGGGGAATGGAAGGGACATAATGATAGAACTGGTTTCATCTTCTCAAGAGTCACCTGAGGATTTTGGTGTCTACACAGGTACCACTGGACTGGTGATTGCAGCAACTTAAATGAGCAGTCAGCTTTCCCTTAAATCACAGTTATAAAACACTTGGCTCTTTGGCTGCACTTTCTGAAGGATACACCTCAAATACCTGCTTGTAAATAGGCTGCATGTAATTTCACACAGTTTCTGAGTCAGCAATATCACTGTGTGTGAAGCCGTAACACTGAGGCCCTGCATAGGAAGGAATCCAGAAAGTGGATGAATGACTGGAGAGACAAAGAAGTGGAAAAAAATGTTTTGTTTCTGCTCCTTAAATCAAAAAGTAGAGGTCAGTTGGAAATAAGTCTTCTGGTCCCCCATTTGGATGTCTTCTTGGAGAAGATCTCAATTGCCATAGTTCAGCAATGTAGCTGCAACAGCAAAGAGCATGGCAGGCAACATGAGGGTACCTTCTTCAAGTCCTGAGAGGCAGCAATAATCTGGAAAAGAGATGGGTTTAGAAGACTTGCACATCTAAATCCAGCACATCTAATTTCAGCTAGCAGAACAGTGACTAGCTTCGGATGTTACAGCCGTGAATCAGGCTCCAAGCTGCCTGAGACATCCCTCACGCGGCTGGTGAAAGGAATAATTCTAAATATGTTACAACTCAGCCCGTGTTCAGATGTTGATCCTGGCCCCTGTGCAGTTGTTTTGAAAGGTCTTTTCTTACATAAATAGATTCATCTGAAACTTTTTTTTTTTTTTTTTTTTTTGAGGAAAACTCTGATATGTGGGTCAAACCGCTGGTGATTTGGCAACGAGATAAGAGAAGATTTTAGAATACCTTTCAAAATGGCTTTTTAACATGCACTTTAAGTAGGAGTTATTTGTGCAAACCCAAGTTTCAAACCCTCTCTGTTTCACTCGTGGGCTTTCCCTCCAATTTAATTCATAGACAAACTTTCTAATTCCCAAGTCAAACAAATGTGACCTCTTCAGCCATGTACTTTAGTGTGGGAGGTTCAAATCGGATGGAAAAGTACAACGTAGCCTCACTGAAGGGCTTTGGTCCTTGCCTCATGTACATAATTAGAAGTTTATTGAATATACTGGAACTATTACTGAGCTACTTGATGATTTAGACCCTAATCCTGACCTGAATTCTGTGGAATGCCTCGGTCTGTCTCCCTTTTCATTCAAGAAGAGGTCAGAGTAATTGTGCGTGTGGGTGTTGATGGATGACTGGCAATGAATACCAAGTAGATTTGCTATGATAATAAATGTGTGACACACTTTTGGGACTATCCTTCAATGGGAAATCCATCACCAGAGTCGCTGACAACTAGTCAAGTTTGGGAGGGGTGATTTCGATGTGACCAGGAAGGAATTTTCTTTTTAAACAGGACTATTGTTCATGGCAAGACTGCAGCCAGGCTGGATGGCATTGGAGGGTGCATGGCATGTGCTGAGGAGGCCTCATCTCCTCCCAGGTTCTACCTCTTGTTTGCTCAGGGACCCCTCTAGAGCTGTTTTGAAGTAGTGTGTGTATTTGAGTGAAAAAGTCAAAGCAACCCCTTTGACATTAAAATCATGAAACCTACCCCAAAATCCTGCATGGCCGTAATTTTCTCTGCATGGCCTCATGCTTACTTTTCCTCTGCCTTAATTCATAATCGGGGCACCTTGATGTAGTTGTTATTTTTGTAATTTCCTTGGTCGGTTTGGGCCAGCCATAAAACATCATTCAGTACTTAAACAATATATAAAAATATGATTGCATGAGACCTGTGGGGCCAGTTAAAATAGATGCTGTCTGCTCCAAAAGAGCCTGCAGATAACAAGGGTTTTATCCAGAGAGTTTCCCCCCGAGTTACCCAGCAGTGAGAAGCTGTGTATCTTAAAGAATAAGTATTTCCTTTCCCAGTAGAGCTTGCCGCAGTATCCCGTCCCCAATTTATTGTGGCAAGAAAGAAGGAAATGTCCCACATGGGGAAGAGGCCCACTAGGGGGGCAGCCCTATAGCAGAGAATGGGAGAAATTTAGAATTTAGAGCCCAAAGTCTTTGCAGAGAAGCTGGAACAAGGGGAAGAGCTGCAGGGGAAGCCCAAGCAGCAGCGCAAGTCCACTGAGGAAATTAAAAACAGCTTTGGCAATGCTGGAAAATGTGCTGCGGAGGGGAACTCCCTGGAAGAGGCATGGCTGGAGGCCAGCAGTGATAACCGGGAGCCCCGAGCGGGAGCGCAGCAGATACCAGCAGCGCGAGGAAGCCCCTGCTCGTCTGCCAAAGCCGTCAGAGCAGGGGAAGAGCAGGAGTAAAAAGGCTCTGTCTTGCCAGTCTTACCCAATTGCATTTCTTACGATCCAGTGAAAAGCGGGGAAAGGAGAGACTATATAAAGTGCTGAGTTCGTTTCTTTTGCAAGTATCAGGTTTCTTGCGGCTTCCACTTCACAGCTCATCTTTCTTGTCCATTAGTGCCGCTCTGACTAATCTAACCAAGGGGAGTAAATCAGCAAGTGGATCATTTGCAACACAAGAAAAAGGGAGGAAATGGTGTGTGGTTAAAAAGTGTAACTCTCTTTGGAGTCCTGTGTCTGCTCCCTGATCTGCTCTGACTCTGGTTAAAGAGATGCTGAGCCAGACCATGGACATACTGTGCACGCAGAGAGATCAGCCCAGAGGTCGCTGAAACTTTAATAAACCTCAAAGTGCATTTGGCAGAGTCATTTTTGCAGCAGGATGCTAGGTTTATATGGTAGTAGTTTTCATCCTAAAGGATCCAGAGAGGCTCTGCTAATGCTATACACATAAAAATCACTGCAGGGTAGCCAATAGGCAGATAGGTTGCTGGAACATTTTTGTCCAGCCAGATGTGGGAGAGAAAGAAACCACCCCAAGACATCTCAGGTTCAGAACCGTATCTTAAATGAAATTACCCCAGAGAAAGGGAGGAGAACTTGCATGCTTAACATTTTGAGTAATACAAAGATCTCTGTGGTCCTGTTTTCTCCTCACATGGGTGTAATCGTGGAGAAGGAACCTAAGCCACCGGTGTGGCTGAGGGAAGGAAAATACAGATTTCAGTGTCATTGGGCTATTGAGGTGCAATGGATCAGGCCTGGGTTTGCCTGAAGGTGGCCCCATAACTTCTACTTGACTCGGTTTGATACCAACTTAGTAACACAGAGCAGTGGGGGGCACCTCCTACCACCCACCCTGGGAGACCTTTCCCACTTCTTGACCAGCCTCTA